CCTTCGAGCCTTTAAGACCCCAGACACTATATCTTTTGATAGCCGGGCACCATCAGCTTTCTTCACCACATTTGCTTATGCACCCATTTATCTTCAGTGATCATATTGGGGAGGTGAGCACGCAATGATATGATTTTTTGTTCTTTGATGCCTGATAACTGATTCCTTCAGGACATCATGTCACACAGGGTGGTGTATTTCTTCCATGAGAGCTTTATTGCTTCTGAGCTAGATGACCACTTGTTTACCTTCAAATCTTTAAGACCCTAGATGCTATATCTTTTGATAGCCGGGCTTTATCAGCTTTCTTCACCACATTTGATTATGCACCCATTTGTCTTTAACAGTTGTGTTGGGAAGGTGAGCATCATAGAATACCAGTTTAATAGAACAAAGTTTTCTTGCATTGAGGGAGTACTTAAGTGGAGGCCCAATGCCCATCTGCTACCTTAGTACTAAACCTATAAGTATATGCACATAGATCTATTACTCCATCCTCATGTATAAATATATTTACATATGTACATGCCCTTATTTAGACTTCTATAAATGCCCTTTGCCTCCTAGCTTTTTTATTTCCTTTTATTTTCCTCTTGTCCCACTGTCATGCTCAGCCTTTATTTGGGTTTCAGTAATTCCTCTTGGTTACATTGCCCTTGATCACACCCTACCAGCCCTCCTACACCCTCCTCACCACTGATTTGGATCACTTGTTGTTCCCTTGTCCCTGGGTTTGTTAGCACCACTTCCTTTCCCCCCACCGCCCCCTCTCCCATGTCCCCCTGGAACCGTCGGTCCCATTGTTTTCTCCAGATTGTTCATCCAGCCTATCTTATTTAGACAGACTTGCAGAGATAACAACATGCACTAAAACAAACGGAGCAAAACCAAGCAACAAAAGAAAAAACAACAACAAAAAGCCAATGACAACAAAACAACAACAACAACAAAGAAAAGCCTGTAGTTAGTTCCAGGCCTGTTTGTTGGCATTTAGAACTGTCTTCCCGTCGAGTCTGAAGAGGTGCCAAACCCTGACCCCAAAGTCTATTTTGGTATTCCCTGGGGATTTCATTGCTCTGTTCCCCTTGCTGTTCTGTGTTGCACGCCCTAGTCTTTTGCCTCAGTGTGGTTGGATCATATTGGGCGCAATTCCCACACTGTGTCTCCAGTGTTGTCCCCTGTAGGGCTATGGGTCAGTGAGGCATGTCGTGTCTTATAGTGGGCTATATGTTCTTCTCAGTGGATTGGCTGCTCTGAGTGGGAATCTCATTCTCAAGGCTTGGTGGGCCAGGATATGTTCCACTCTCTCTTCCTCCCTCTACATTTGCTCTTGTGTGCCCTGATCAGACATGTCCCTTTCCCTGAACTTGCAGCTTCAGTGCTGTCCTCTGAAATAAATTCTTCGTGGGGGTTGGGGGTGGGGGCAGGTGTCCGTGTAGTTGGGATTGGGACCGGCCCCTCAAACCGCTCCACTGGTTACCTGTAGCTTATCTTTTATTGTTTTCTTGACCCATTGGTAGTTTAAGAGTATTTAAATTTCATATGATTGTATATTTTCTAATGCTTTACTGTAATTATTACTATTATTCCTGCTATTGATTTGTAACTTCATTCCCTGTGGTCAGATAAATGGTATGATTTCAGTCTGTGTAAATGGACCAAGACTGACTTTGTGGCCTAACGTGTCCTGGAATGGTAGCTGTGTGGCTTGGAGGGGGTTGTTGTTAGGCTGTGGGCTGTGGTTAGTTTATGACTGTCATTCAGGTTCGCTGTTCCCTTGTTGATCTTCTTTCTCATTGTTCTGTCTACTTTTGAAAGTAGTACATTGAATTCTCCAACTATTCTTTCAATTATATCCATATTTGCTGTACGTTGGTTGCATATATGTTTTAGGATTGTTAAAGCTTCTTAATGTATCTGTAATGCCCATTTTTATCTCTAAACAGATTTTGTCTCAAAGTCTTATTTGTCTAATATTAAGATTGCCAGCCATCTCTCATTTGGTTATTATTTGCACGGAACATTTTGTGTGCATAATTATAAAATGTGTGAGGCTCTAGAATTTACATGCAATTAAAAAACCGATTTATCTCTCATTACAGTGTTCGCAATAATACTTCAACCCAGCGTGATGACTTCCAGCAGGTAAGATAACACCAAGCTTCTGAAGCACTGAACGCCCTTAATTAGGGAAATAGTAATAATACTCATGGAATTTTCATTTTAGATTAGTGGTATAACTTTTGGCAAGTTTTGTGCATTTTCTTTTTCTTATCTGCAAAGTGCTCAATATTGCTTAATCCTCTGTTAATTGTGTTCTTTGAGATTTTGTTAAGGGAAGTGGTGCTCTTTAAAACATTTTCTGTCTTTACAAATCCTGGAAAGTAAATAAAAAAATTTATGTACATTTGGACTGCTAACTCCCACGTAAAATTCAAGTTTTTTCTTACCTTCTTTGTTCATTATGTTGATAGCATTGCATTTAGTACTCGTTTTGTTGGTGAAGGAAGGTTTTATGTAGGCAAAATAGATGACTTTTATAATTTGTTTCTAAAGGCTTGGGGTGCCAGATCCAGCCCACTTGTGGTGCCTTCCTCTCCCTGTGCGCCCCTGCTGGTGGAGATAGGGAGTCTTCCAAGGGCTTCAGCAGCTGACCAGCACGACAGGAAATGGTTTGTTAATCCCTTAAACCAAAATCAAGTATTAAAACAATGCAGCCACAAGATTAGAGTTCTTTAAATATGATTGAAAACAAATTATTCATATTTGTGAGCTTAAAAGAAATACTGAGCCATCTGAAAAGAATTAGGGGGACCAAAGGAAGTGGGAATGAAGGGTGCAACCGTAGGTTTGTCTAAATGAAGGATAGCGGGCTCTTCATGTTGAATTAGTATGATTGTGGTGTTTATTTTTCTGTTGGAAAAAATTTCATTGGCTATATAAGGGAAACATATCTTTTATATGTTAATTATACCTTGGTACTGGTTTTTGGATGTGCCTTTCATTAAAGACCGAAATATGATGCAAAGTGACAAACATGATTATAGTCCAGTCAAACAAAGCTTAAATTATTCTGTTTTGCGGGATTAAGATATATCAGTTTAATGACAAAGAAGATATTTAGTTTTCTAGGATCTTTTAGATTAACAGTAAGTTTACAAATATGAATACTTTGTGTTTTATTGGTGTTAATTGCTGGGGTTTTTACATTCCTAAGTAAATTTATGTGCCTTGGGAAGGTGGGGGGTCCCTTGGAAATTAATTGATTGAATTTGGAATGTCATCTGTTTTCAAGTTTTATGTCTATTTATGAAATAGATGTTAATAATTCTTAGGCCGTCTCTCATGTTCTTTCTTTCTTTAGTGCCTGAAAACGCGAGTGCGCTTCTGTGGTGGTCTCAAGGTTCTGATTCGCTTCTGTTCACTAGCTCTCCTTCTGGTGGCGGGTCAGCAGTGGGGGTGATTGTTTTCGGACTTTGCTGTGCCGTTCTCAGTCACTCTTGTTCGGGCTTGACTAACTTCAAGGTGCTTAGCGCTTGAGGAGGAACTATAACTGGTGGACATATTTTAATTCACTTGCAAATAACTTGAGATTGATTTCTCAAGATAAGATAAGGGGGAGTGTGTGTGTGTGTGTGTGTGTGTGTGTGTGTGTGTGTGTTTCCCCCTCCCTTGCCCCTCTTCCTGCTTGGAGTGCTGTGAGGTGTCTTGTGTGTGCGTGTACTCAAGTCACACATGTAAAGTATAAATGATGAGGCTTCTACATGTCAAATTTAATCCCGTCTTTTTAAACTAGTAAAGAGCGTTTTTATTCGTTTGTAATCACAGCACAGCTTCCGTAAGCAAGCGTTTCCCCTCAAGGCTAGCACTGAATCCCATTGGCAGGGAAAATAGTACTCAGACTTCAACTATGAAAGAATTACTTTCATATATGTTTGTCTTTTAATAATGGACTGAAAATCTGACTAGATTGCATTTAGTATTATAACATTAAGCCTTTTTTATTTAAAAATATTTTCCAATTTTTAAAATACACGTTTAAATATGTTTAACTTAATTTACTAGTCAGTACTCCACTCCTTTCATGCAACCTTTAGAAAGTGTGTTGGCTCTGCTTGAATTTCAAGGGGAAAAGAGAGAAATTTGGAGATGTGTGTCCTTGCTCCATGTGCTGTGCTGAGACTTCCTCGGCTGAAAAGATGGAGGGAAGCAGAGGTGTTTGGCACCCACAGAGCTTCAGCGTGTGCCGGCTGGGCATGGACCTGAATGTAGAGCTGCTAGGTCTTGGGGCTCATGGATTTCCGAGCCTGTGTTTGTAAAGCATTCTGCACTTCATACTTTGTTTGTACATGCTTTGTTTTCCCCTCGTGCTTCTAAAAGACTATCAAACAGTCCTCCTTTAGAAAGTGATCGTTTCATAAAACTTATTAAGACTCCAGAGGTTTTAAAACATGCGGCTGACAAAGAGGCATTGTATTTTTAGCAAATGACTTTTGCATATAACTTTCAGCCCTGCAGCACAGGTTTCTCTGTCCTGCAGGGGCTCAGTCATACTCCATGGTCATGAGTGTGCTTTGGTTTGGAGTTGAACTGATTTAACGGATACTACTGGGAGTGTACTAGCTGGTGTCTTTTAAACGATACTAGTATTTGAGTGAGTAGATCCTTAGAATTATATCTGGTATCTAAAGGATCATCTCTGAGAAAGTGATAAAAACAAAACTGAATAATATTTTGAAATTGTTGTAGAGCAGAAAATGGTCCTAATTTACTTTTCTAAAGTTTTAGAGACCCTAAATTGAACATTTTAATGTTATTATTAGACCTGATCAACAAATTGAATTTTATTTGCAGGACAGATGGTGATTTATTGTAAAACTAGGCTTTTAGGTTTGTTTAGTTTCCATAAGGGTAAAGGTAAAGATTCATAGCTTTGTTGTTCAGAACCTTGATTGGCAGATGCTGTTTCTATTGGAGGACTGATCTGTGTTAACATCTCTGCGCGCCTGTTCTGTAGGACTCCCCCAGAGACCTCTGGTGTACTCTCTAAGCCACTTCCTGGTGGAGGCTCATCATCTCATCACCATTTCTGTATCTGTTGAGTTTCCTTTTGCAATCCTATGAAACCTGATTATACAAAAACCAATAATTCGCCATCGTGAATATTGATTACATGGCCTCTGAGTAGATTTTTTTTTTTTTTTGTAACGCTTTTTCGCAATTTTGCCTCCTGGACCTCAGTTTCATGATTTTATTTAGTTTGGAGAATATTTTTCACAATTACTGTTTCCAAATGTGCCTTGTAAAGAATTCTTTCTCATATTTGAATTAAATAGATGACTATTTTTTTCTTTTCATTCGAATCTTAAATACCTTTTCTATTTTTCATTTTAGTAACATCAGGGACAGATACAATCTCTTACCTTCTATGAAATTTCCCCTCTAGTTAATTCACCTAACAGATTCTAGTTACTGAAATGTATTTCCATATTGATGTTTTTCATTTCATGTAACTTTGTGAATGTTGTCACTGCATGGACTAGCTGTTAATAACAACTGACAGCATGGGTGCATGCTGATCACAGTCCCTTTTTTCTTTATTACCTCGTACTTATCCGTTTCTCCTGTTCCTATTTACTAACTCTGCTCCTCCCACTCCCCACACATCCAGGCTCTCTGATGCCAGTGACTGCTGTCAACGTGGTGGAGACCAGTGGAACACAAGGGCCATGCCCCCACCCCAGACTGCATGTAGGAACTTCCCTGACTTTGTCCATGAGCACAATGTGAAGAACGCAGGAGTCCATCACGATGCTCACTTCCCTGGCCATTCAGCCATGACCGAGATATGAGTGTTAAGCCTTGTAGGCATTGGGACTCTTTCTGCCATGCACGATGATGGTGCACATTTTCTAGTGTTTATAGGGTATTGATCACATTAGGAAAATTCGGGAGAAGGTATTTTATGCTCACTAGTTATGTAGTTATGTTTGTAATTTATTCATCTCCGAGAGGGAAAAGGGTCTCAAAATGCTATATTCCATATAATGACAAATGATTTTTATGTTGAGAATAGTCTGTATATCATTGTCGTGTTGGGAGAGCTTTTCACGATTTCAACATGCTTCACAGAAGCTGGCTCAGGGGAAAGCTTGTGCGTGTGAATAAGCTACCTACTGTCACCCTCACACAATGCCGCACTCAACAGATGGACAGTCAAAGAATCTAACACACCGAAGGGTCAAAGCATGCTCAAGGAAGTTGGGCATCAGCTTTTGTACCATTTTCATAAAATGATTGTACCTTATTCTTAAAGTCTTTCTAAGTTTACTCAGTTCCTCACCTAAGTGCCTAAGGTTTCGTAATACTAATTAATTTAATTTCTAAAACCTTCACTTTTTAGTAAATATAAGTATTGTAAATTTCCCGAAGGCCTAAAAATCGCATCAATGATGTGATGTAGAGAGGGGTTATTGTGGAATGCTTGTTTGAATTGGAAAATGTATTCACTCTTTCCTTTTCCCTTTACTCCTTCATCTCATGGACCTGCTCCCACAGGCTCGTAATTTGCCCTTATGCAACCTTTAAAATAAAATTCTAAAGCCATCTCGTCTCATTTTCAAATATACTTACTGGGTATGCATTCCTGTTTTTATCTTGTATGAACTTCTGAGTTCTTTGGTTTGATTTATACAGCAAAGTAACAAGAAAATGTACAGCTGAGATGTAATGGGAAGCATTTCTTCTGTGTAGCTGTTTCAAATGAAAAAGAAAATTTTTCCAATTTTAGACTATATGTTTATGTGCGGATAATTTATTTTTGGTGTATTCGTGATATGTCATTAATGAAGTCAAAAGTAGCCCCTTTAACTTCATATACTCACCTCAGTGGCCAGTCTTCTCAATATCTCTACTAGACAAAACCTTTAAGAAAATTGGAAACTGCATTGATGAGAAAACGTTGTGCCGGGAATTTTTTCCTATCACACAATGTGCCTGCTCGTGCTTGCGGGTAACAAGGGCTGTCCTTTGAGAATTTCCTTGGGAATCTTACCCTGTCCAGCCTGTAGCCGTGATCTTGCCACTAAAGACTTTGTTCTGCACATTGCAAAGGGGCACGATTTGAGTCCTTCAGGAATGCCAAACTGCTGCTTGGACATGGTCTAACTAGAAGCATGCAGAATTCCTCAAGGAGACGTCAGACACACGAACAGATAAACTTTCAGAAATGTGTAGACCCAGCTTGGGTTTGGGTTTGCATCAAAAACAACCAATAACTTTACCTATTTGTTTAATAAAGCTTCTTAAGGTTTTGTAGCAATGCTTCTTTCAACTTAACCTGTGTTTGTAATTGTGATAAATGCAACATACACTTGGCATTTTAAACCATGTAATTTGATGACATTGATTATATTTACCATATTGTGCAACTATCACCTTTATTTCAAAAAGCTCTTTTATCACACCAAACCAGAATCATTGTACAGATTAAGCACTGGCCTCCAGTATTCCGTAATACGCGTCTTTTGCTCTTGGGGGCCGGCCCTGGATCTGTCATCTGGGTGGCCTCTCAGTACAGCTTTCAGTGCAGTCATGAGTCACACAGGTGAAAGCGGCACCGTTGTCTTCTTCCTGATTTAAGGGGAAAGCTCCAGTCTTTAGCCGTTGCAGA